TCACAAATTGTATTAAACCAGTTTAAAAGGTGTTCAGGTTTGTAGTATAGACTTGCAACGATATATTCACCTTCTCAGTAAGCCTCAGGTGCAAAGTAACATGCTTTCTTATCCTCGATTCTATTTTGGAAAATACAGAGCTTGAGGATTTTAAAAAATTAGATATTTGCCCGAGACCATCTGAGTCCTAACTCTTCAGGGATTCTAAGCCAAATGTTCCCAAGACCAAAGAATTTTTATGAAGAAGTCATTTTAAATACTTTACAAAACAGGAGTGGACTTTCTGATCCTGATGAGTACAGCCTGATCCGTTGTATGTTTACTCATAAGTAAGTCTCACTGATTTTAATGTTGCTTATTCCCTGATAACTGAGCATTGCGGACTGTAGCCTCTTTCTTTCTTTCTTTCTTTCTTTCTTTCTTTCTTTCTTTCTTTCTTTCTTTCTCTTTCCTTTCAAAAAATTGGTTTTAGAAAGGGCGGTTCCAGTTCTAGGATAGCATCGCTATATAAACCCAACACCTTTGTACTTGTCCTACATATTAAGTAGAGAAATTGCAGGGGGGGGTGGAAACTTCATCTGTTTCTCCATTTTCATATGCAAAAGATGCTAGTTGCTTTGTCTTTTCAATATCTGAAGGCTGCTCTAGCCTCTTTTTAAAGGTAAAGGGACCCCTGACCATTAGGTCCAGTCGTGACCGACTCTGGGGTTGCGGCGCTCATTTCGCTCTATGGGCTCTATTTGTCCGCAGACAGCTTCCGGGTCATGTGGCCAGCATGACTAAGCCGCTTCTGGCGAACCAGAGCAGCGCATGGAAACGCCGTTTACCTTCCCACCGGAGCGGTTCCTATTTATCTACTTGCACTTTGACGTGCTTTCGAACTGCTAGGTTGGCAGGAGCAGGGACCGAGCAACGGGAACTCACCCCATTGCGGGGATTCGAACCGCCAACCTTCTGATCGGCAAGTCCTAGGCTCTGTGGTTTAACCCACAGCGCCATCTGCGTCCCTGGCCTCTTCTTAAAGGTCAGCAAAAAACTGATTATTCCTTACCCTCCAAAAACCTTTGAACTTCCTCACATTTAGGGTGCTGAAAGGGAGGTGTTTGAAGGGAGCTGCCTGCCATAGGTAAGACATTGTCTCAGTCACCATTTGTAAATGAAAATAAATAATAAGGCATGGAGTATATATGTATGTACATACTGAAGGATTTTCTGCCAGTGACTTACTATCTAGCTTTGGACACAAGGTTATCTCTCCTACGTATATGGAAACAATATTGTAATTATATATTATGGCTTTTAGGAGACACACATGATAAACGCTGGAGGGAGTGCTGTTGGCTTGTGAGCACATAACTTAATTTTACTCCAGATTTTTTTTTGGGGGGGGGAGGGAGAGAAGTAAGGAACGGTCCTGAAAAAGCAGATAATGTGAGTTGAGGCTAGAACTTGAATGGGAACAAGTTTTCCTTCTGCCGCATCAACAGCAATATAAACCCCATGGATCTCTGCTATGCTGAGCAGGCCATCTTTCTTAATTTGGAATAGCTACTACCCCGTTGTTTCTGTAATTACAAACAACATTACAGACGTTTCCAACGTGCTGTAAATTATTTCTTCCTCTTACAAGGCTCCTTCTGCATTGACACAGCAGCGTAAGAGCCCTGTTGGATCAACGCAGAGGCCCATCTAATCCGGCATCGCATTCTCACAGTACCAGTCAGGTGTTCAAGAGAAGCCCTTGCATGCCAGAGTGCTCTCCCCATCTGTGATCCCAACAGCCACCATTCAGAGGCATACCAACTCTGTGATACTGCAGGTGGTTGTTGACAAGACCCCCCCCCTCTCAGCCTCGCTGATGTGGTCCAAAGGAAAGCAGAGCAATACTTACAGCACCAGCATGGCTGCAGGCATACAAGGTGCCATCCAATCTGTCTTAAGAGACTCCACTCCAGATTTGTGTAGGGTTTACTCCTTAGCCTTTTCTCCTGCCAAGATATCCTGCAAGACAGTGAAGGTTTAGGGTGAGAGTCTTCCTTCTCCAAGATGGGCTCCCTTCCCAGATTGATGAGCCCCGTCTGCCCCTCATCTCTCTCTCCAGCAAATGCAGAAACCGCCTTCTTGGCCATTGGACCCACAATTGGTCTCATCATCTCCATCCTCCAGAGCCTGTCTTTGCATGCAGGGGAAGTTCCTAACTCACTTCAACCATCATAGTTAGTAGTTACTGAAAGCCTCATCAGTCAGTCAGTCAGTCAGTCAGTCAATCAATCAATCAATCAATCAATCAGTCAGTCAGTCAGTCAATCAATGACGTTATTGTTCTAGCCAAAAGGTAAAGGTAAAGGTACCCCTGTACGGGCGTACAGGCCAGTCTTGACAGACTCTAGGGTTGTGCGCCCATCTCACTCAAGAGGCCGGGGGCCAGCGCTGTCCGGAGACACTTCCGGGTCACGTGGCCAGCGTGACAAGCTGCATCTGGCGAGCCAGAGCCGTACACGGAAACGCCGTTTACCTTCCCGCTAGTAAGCGGTCCCTATTTATCTACTTGCACCCAGGGGTGCTTTCGAACTGCTAGGTTGGCAGGCGCTGGGACCGAGCGACGGGAGCGCACCCCGCCGTGGGGATTCGAACCGCCGACCTTTCGATCGGCAAGCCCTAGGCGCTGAGGCTTTTACCCACAGCGCCACCCGCATCCTAGCCAAAGGCCACAACAAATTTATAGCCATAACTTTAATAAAAGAAACCACCCTTAACAATCCATGCGTAATATAAGTTGATATCCATGGTGCAAAAGATAGAAGATACCAGAGACACCAATGAGTTTACATCTAGCTTAATTTCAAATTAAGCCTATGAATCACCAAAATTTGTAAGCCTTATGTTTGACATCCACAACCTTTGCAACTGGCAGGCAGGCAAGTCACTATGTGGTCTGCACACCTGTCACAAAACCAGCTATCTGTGTCCCTAAGGATTTTTAGACTTTGAAACTGTTGAGATTTCTTATCTTCCTATGAACCTCTGTGGATTCACTGATGTATCTATTGCTAGGTATGCTGTGTTTCCGATATTTGAGGAAGCACTTTGAAGGCTTCTGCTGAAAAATACAATTCAAAAAGCACTTCTAAATTTTCTTTACTTTTAAATTGTATTTGTCCAGGGTGCTGAGAGCTGTTAGGGGACCCCTGCCCCCCCCCCCAGAGCACCACATTTCCCAGAGTTCCCTGGGAAGAAGGGGTTGATAGTTAGAATGGTAATTCTGTGAGGGGAATAGTGGTCTCCCAGCAACTCTCAGCATCCTAAACAAATTGCAGTTTCTAGGATTCTATGAGGGAATCCATGACAGTTTAAAGTGATATGATATTGCTTTAAATATATAGTGTAGACAAGGCCTTCTTTAAGAAGTTGGATTTTCTGCAGTTGTGGAAAACATGAGGCAATCACTGGAAAATACAGGATTAAATAAGAACATCAGCTGGACTTCGCCATAAAATGTGAGCGAACGAGACATGAAAATTCTGGATTAAATGCAGAATGCAGAAGAGCTCTGTATAAGTTGTAAGAAATCTGAGAAAGTAGCCTCCCCCCTTTTTTTACAAAGAGGACCACAATACTTGTCTCCAGGTTTTGTATTCAAGGATTGTCAAAGAACCTTCCTTTGCATAATGCATGCCCAATGGCCTCAAAGTTTGAATCTCTTTGAATGTAGAGATCTGAATTGGTTCATCATTTGCTTTTTCTAGCAGGGTCACTTGTACAAAGAATAAAAATGGTTGTTTTTATTTAACCGAGAGAGACATTAGAAGTTTCCTGGCATTTAGGAAGAGTCCCTCTTCTGTTTCCTTAGCACCTAGTTTTAGAACTGTTCTTGCCTCAGCAGAAGAACGAGATGTACTGTAACTCCTGGTTTTTATCCGATTTGCTACACTCGCATTTGTAAAACTTAAGCATCATCATTAATATCCTACTGTGCTGATTCATTGCTTACATAGCTTTAAAAAAACCAAAAGAAATTGAACTTGGCAGTTATTTAACATGCTGTGGTCTAAACCCCAGAGCCTAGGGCTTGCCGATCAGAAGGTTGGCGGTTCGAATCCCCACAATGGGGTGAGCTCCCGTTGCTCGGTCCCTGCTCCTGCCCACCTAGCAGTTCAAAAGCACATCAAAGTGCAAGTAGATAAATAGGAACCGCTCTGGCGGGAAGGTAAACGGCATTTCCATGCGCTGCTCTGCTTTGCCATAAGTGGCTTAGTCATGCTGGCCACATGACGCAGAAGCTGTCTGCGGACAAACACCGGCTTCCTTGGCCTATAGAGTGAGATAAGCGTGCAACCCCAGAGTTGTCCGCGACTGGACCTAACGGTCAGGGTTCCCTTTACCTTTTTTTAAACCTGCCACCCAGAATTGCTGCTCAACTCTTACCAAATCAACTAAATTTTACTCAGTCCGTGCAGGATCTAGGGGGTGTGAAAGGGACCTATAAAAGAAAGCACATGACATGTAGTTAAATAATTATTATCTTGTGGAATTTGCTGCCGCATAATGTAGTGAAGGGATGCGGGTTAAACCACAGAGCCTAGGACTTGCCGATCAGAAGGTCGGCAGTTCGAATCCCCGCAATGGGGTGAGCTCCCATTGCTCAATCCCAGCTCCTGCCAACCTAGCAGTTCGAAAGCACGTCATGTGCAAGTAGATAAATAGGGACCGCTCCAGCGGGAAGGTAAACGGCGTTTCCGTGTGCTGCTCTGGTTCACCAGAAGCGGCTTAGTCATGCTGGCCACATGACCAGGAAGCTGTCTACGGACAAACGCCGGCTCCCTCGGCCTATAGAGCGAGATGAGCGCCGCAACCCCAGAGTCGGTCACGACTGGACCTAATGGTCAGGGTTCCCTTTACCCTTTACCTAATGTAGTGAAGGACCGTCGTTTGGATGCTTTTAAAGGAAGATTAGACAAATCTACAGAGGATAAGTCTGTTGAGGGCTACTAGTTGGACTATAGGGAATCCCAGCTGCCCAGCAATTGCTGGGGAGCAACGTTAGAAAATGGCTGTTGCCATCACATGCTGCTTGCTTATGGGCTTTTCAAAGGCATCTGCTTGGTGCTGGATTCGATGGAGCTTTTGCACTGAGGCAACAGGCCTTGTCTTCTCCTCTAGATGACAGAATTTGCTCCCTGCCCCCCGCAGCTGCCATTCTTCTCCTAGTAGAAAAGTAGAATTTGGGGAAAAGACACTAAATGATGTGGTTACTTTACTAGTCTTTACCTTTTTTTTTTAAACCTGCATCACTTGATTAACTTGCCCTAGAATTTAATTGGGAGCATTTCTGTCCCAATGGGTGTAGTTGAGCTTTTGTCAGGGAAGGAGCAGGGGGGAGAATCAAAACTAAGCACTTTGGTTTTGTAATAAAAATTAAAAATCTAAGTTTGCCTCTTTCAAGAATCTAAGGACATTATTTAGGATTTTAGCCAGAACTTTACAATGGAGATATCTGAATTAAAATTTAGGGACATTTCATAGGTTTCCCACCAAGGGTGCACTCTGGAGAAAACTGGATGTACCTGTATGATGCAAACATTTCCAAAATGTTTGCCTCATTCTCAATTAGGTGCGCTCATAAAACATCTTAGGTGTGCACCTAAAAATGGAATGTGTGGAGAGGCCTTAGGAAATTATGTTAATTTGTAACCCACGGGCATTGTAAAAATACGTTGCTCTGTCCAATTAGAAAAATGCCATTCAACTTAATTGCTAAAGCAAGAACACTGGAGACCACCCAGAGAAAAACGCACTGGGTTTGTTTCATCTTAAGATACAAAATTTAAGTGACGTGGGCATGCAGTGCTGACTATTCTCAACTGTTCTGGGAATTAATTTAAAGAAAACGTGTTCATTGTAATTTTTTTATTAGGAGGAAGAGGCTTGTTGTCTCTAAATGTATAAAACAATTTTTCAGCATTTCAGGTTTTTTTTCTGTAAATGAGTTCCTGTATGTTCTCCTTATTACCAAATAAAAGCAATGAGATCTCCAATTGGTATGGATTCCTGTTCTGTGCAAAAGCGAGTTAGCTTATCTAATGGAATAATGGAGCTGGTTGAGAGTGTTCATCACCGTTACTGTCTTTGGGGGGCATTATAACTGCTCACAGATGCAAAACACACTTCTTTCGCTGCATGAAACTGGAGGAAATTAAAGGTCCTTCTGCCATTGCCTTTAGCAGTGTGGGAACAACTACAGTGGGGCTCCTTCCCACACCATCTAGCAACATCAGAGGCCTGGAGCATAGCTGTCAACTGTCCCTTATTTGGTGGGAAAGTCCCTTATCCCAGCGCCGTGTCCCACTGCTGTCCCTTATTGATGATGTCCCTTATTGATGATGTCCCTTAAATTTCCCGGGTTTCAAAGGAAGCAGCTCCTCTCCCTCCCTGCCTGCCGGCCAGGGAGGAGGGAGGCTCCAACTGTGTAGCTTGGCTGCATTGCTTACCCAATAAGGAGTCTAAGAACGACTGGGGGGTGGAGCTTGCATGCCAGTGTGGTGTAGTGGTTAAGAGCAGTAGTCACGTAATCTGGGTAACCGGGTTCGCGTCTCCGCTCCTCCACATGCAGCTGCTGGGTGACCTTGGGCCAGTCACATTTCTTTGAAGTCTCTCAGCCCCACTCACCTCACAGAGTGTTTGTTGTGGGGGAGGAAGGGAAAGGAGATTGTTAGCCGCTTTGAGACTCCTGAAGGGGAGTGAAAGGCGGGATATCAAATCCAAACTCTTCTTCTTCTTCTTCTTCTTGTGCCGATCAAATCGGCCGTGTTGCCTGGGGACTCGCCTTTGCTCAGCGCTTCCCAGCGGAGAGGTGACAGTGGTTTTCCTTGCTGCATCCCCTTTGCCGGGTTGCTGCGCTGTAGGAACCACCACTTGAGGCTTCGTTTGGCTGTTGGCCTGGCTTTCTGCCTTTGGCTCGGAGGGGCTCAGAAGTTGAGCATTACTGTGCTCCTTGGAAAATCCCTTATTTTGGCTGCTGATCCCTTATTTTCGAGGTTGCTGGTCCCTTATTTTCAAATCTGTAAGTTGACAGCTATGGCCTGGAGGCACATGGAAGAAGTCCATTTTGCCATTTCTTCCCATGGCTAGCAATACTCTGCTTTCCATAATACTCTCCTCAAAGGCTCCTCAAAATACTCCACCCTATTTGTGGGCAAAGAAATGGGGGCTGGATTCTACCTCATTTCTATAGGAGGATTCATTCCACCTCAGCTTCCAGCATTAGCAATGACTGTAGCATGACTTCTTTCTTTTTCCCTAAGCCCCACTCTCCTACTGCCACTAAAGGTCGCAGTAGCAACCATTACTGGCTGCCATTTTGGATTTTTCATAATACCTTGGACCAAGTGTACTTTCGGGGGCACTGTGGAGGGGAAATACTGACCACACACAAAATAAATAACAATTGCCACAGTAGATAGGAATATAGTAAAGGTACCCCTGACCGTTGGGTCCAGTCGTGGACGACTCTGGAGTTGCGGCACTCATCTCGCTCTATAGGCCGAGGGAGCCAGCGTTTGTCCGCAGACAGCTTCCGGGTCATGTGGCTAGCATGACTAAGCCGCTTCTGGCGAACCAGAGCAGTGCATGGAAACGCTGTTTACCTTCCCACCAGAGTGGTACCTATTTATCTACTTGCACTTGACGTGCTTTTGAACTGCTAGGTGGGCAGGAGCTGGGACCAATCTACTAAATCACCACATGAATATACTTGAAGATGCTACTATAATTCACCCTCTTTTTATTTTTCAAGGTTCAAAACAACTTATGAAACCCGCACCATTGCCAGAATCCTCAAATCGGCTCACGCTGCCAGGTTAGTGAGTCCCTCTGTGCTCAGATATGCAACCTCAGACGTAGCTGATCGGTATTCTGTCAGCGAGAACTAACTCCATCTATTTCTAGACCCGCTCATCAATGTCACAATTAATGGCCAACATGAACATCTCTCCCATGTCTGCTATGAATCAGAGGTCAAGTGATTCAGCTTTTTTCATGTGTATCTGCTTTTCTGTTGTGTCATAAGCCTGTAACCTAAGATTTTAACCCCGTGATTAATTCTGGCCAATAGTGCTGAACAAGGTAAGCGAACAGATCTGGTGTTGTAGTCAATGGTATCTGGGGATGGTGCTGGACCACATGGAGTAGCAAAGGGGTGATTTCATATATATCCCGTACTCACGGAACATTGGTTGCTAGATCATCTTCTGCTTTCTCCTTTTTTCTTCTCTGCTGCTTTTGTCATGAAAATTGAATAGCATTGCCTTTAAACAAAAAACAAAAAAAGCTTTCCCATTCCTGTGCCTTTTTACATCAGCCTGACATACGGTAATTAAGGAGCAGGGAACATTTGGCAACCCTAATAGAGAATAGCTGTCCACTGGATTGGGAAGGAGGCCTGACACATCTTTCCCAAAGCCCAGAAAGCTTCTGCCGGCTTAGGGAAGGAGGTGCGATGCTCACGAGTGCAACATCAGCACATCGCCATGCCAGCCCCCACCCCATTGCTCAGATACCACTCCTCCATTTGGCCAACAGGGCTTTCTCTTGGGTAAGTAATATAATATAATATAATATAATATAATATAATATAATATAATATAATATAATATAATAAATAAATAAATAAATAATAATAATAATAATAATAATAATAATAATTCATTTATACCCCGCCCATCTGGCTGGGTTTCCCCAGCCACTCTGGGCGGCTTCCAACAAAACACTAAAATACAATAGTCTATTAAACATTAAAAGCTTCCCTAAACAGGGCTGCCTTCAGATGTCTTCTAAATGTTTGGTAGTTATTTTTCTCTTTGACATCTGGTGGGAGGGCGTTCCACGGGGGGGGGGGCACTACCGAGAAGGCCCTCTGCCTGGTTCCCTGTAACTTGGCTTCTCGCAGCGAGGGAACCACCAGAAGGCCCTCGGCGCTGGACCTCAGTGTCCAGGCAGAATGATGGAGGTGGAGACGCTCCTTCAAGTATACTGGACCGAGGCTGTTTAGGGCTTTAAAGGTCAGCACCAACACTTTGAATTGTGCTCGGAAACGTACTGGGAGCCAGTGTAGCTCTTCCAAGACCGGTGTTATATGGTCTCGGCGGCTGCTCCCAGTCACCAGTCTAGCTGCTGCATTCTTGATTAGTTGTAGTTTCTGGGTCACCTTCAAAGGTAGCCCCACATAGAGCACATTGCAGTAGTCCAAGCGGGAGATAACTAGAGCATGCACCACTCTGGCGAGACAGGGTACAGGCAGGTAGGGTCTCAGCCTGCGTACCAGGTGAAGCTGATAAACAGCTGCTCTGGACACAGAATTGACCTGCACCTCCATGGACAGCTGTGAGTCCAGAATGACTCCCAGGCTGCGCACCTGGTCCTTCAGGGGCACAGTTACCCCATTTAGGACGATAAGACTGCAGTCTTTGCCTTATCTAACTGTAGTTGGATCAGAGCTCAGGTGTCTCCTGCCGGAGAACTGAAAACGATCTGACATTGGAATGCTATTCACCCCCCTTCCAAGCCAAGGTTCCCTTCCAATATGATGATGGTGGTGGCAGCCTTGAGGACACAGATCCCAGGGAGAAGTTGGATTAGGGTTCAAGAAAACTAAACACTTGTCTCCATTGGCTCTTTGATCTTCGCTAAAATCAGGTGCATCCAAGTTGGCTATACAGTGGTAACTCGGGTTACAGACACTTCAGGTTACAGACGCTTCAGGTTACAGACTCCGCTAACCCTGAAATAGTACCTCGGGTTAAGAACTTTGCTTCAGGATGAGAACAGAAATCGCGCAGCAGCGGCATGGCGGCAGCGGGAGGCCCCATTAGCTAAAGTGGTGCTTCAGGTTAAGAACAGTTTCAGGTTAAGTACGGACCTCCAGAACGAATTAAGTTCTTAATCTGAGGTTGTTGTTGTTTAGTCGTTTAGTCGTGTCTGACTCTTCGTGACCCCATGGACCAGAGCACGCCAGGCACCTCTGTCCTCCACTACCTCCCGCAGTTTGGTCAAACTCATGCTGGTAACCTCGAAAACACTATCCAACCATAATCCGAGGTACCACTGTACTAAAAAGCTCAGTACAGCTCTGCACCGGTCTGCAAAAATACTCTGATACCATCGTAACTTTTTCACAGCTGAGTTCTGTATCATTACCATGGTGGCAAACAGTTACGTTTGGTAAGGTAACACAAAGCTCAGCAGATGTTTCTTCCAGAGAATCCAGCACGCAAGCCATAATGAGTCTTGGATATTTCTTCCTATGACACTGCGAATCATCACACACTGTAATATCATCAGAGGCATGTGGACAGTGATTGAAAATAAAAGAAACCTCTGGCACACCACCAAGGTGTACCTTGTGAAGACCGTTGTTATGCCATTTGCCTGAAGCAATTCTTAAACAAAGGTACAGTCCAATAGTATACAAGTATTCTGCCCAAGCGCTGACTCCCACTAGCTGCACTGCCTAGTGTACCTTGTAGAATTAGAGGCAGATATCTTCCGCTTCCGTAAGCCTAGTGTCACCTTCATGCATTTCTGTTGGGGTTGATGTCCTTCTGAGTATGGTGTTCTGCCTTTCAGAAAACTAAGAGATTCTTCAGGAAAGAGCATTACCTCCTCAACATGCCAGCCCAATTGCTCGGAGGCAATTTAAAGAAAAGCATGCACTTCCCTTCTCCCCAAATGTTCAGGTTAGTATGAACATTATGACGAAATCGACATTTCACGTAGGTGGTGTTGGCATAACGAGAACAATGGGTTAAACTGCACTGTGCTTGGTCTCAGTGTCTTGAGCAGCACAGGCAGCCCACATCCAGATGTTCTGAGATAAGGATGCCAGGTGCGCTGCGTTACCATAGCAACACCAGCAAAGCTGAGTGTAGGACTTGCTGAACTATCCCACTGGTTCAGGAACGTAGAGACGGGAATAACAGTCTCTAGGGCACTGCTTCCATTGTGCCTGTGTTCCTGAAGTTGCGCCTGTCCTGATGCTGTCCTGTAGGACTTTCAGGGTCCGAATTTGAACCTGTGGGAGTCAGGGGAAGAGGCGGTGGGTTTTACACAGCAGTGTTATCTAGCATGGTGATAGTGTTAGAGGATCTGTGTATATGTATCTTTACTTCAAGGACCAGAAAAAGGATATATACAGTCGTACCTCTTCTTACGTATCCCTCTGGATAAGGAATCTTTGGGTTATGGCTGCGGCAAACCCAGAAGCGTATACTTCCGGGTTTAGCCGTGTGCGCATGCACAGAAGCGCTCTGTGCACCTTGCACATGCACAGAAGTGTTCGATCGCGCAGCGCACATGCGCAGAAACGCTCAATCGTGCAGTGCGCGTGCAGAAGTGTGCCTCTATTTGCTTAATTTTCAGGGTGCGAACAGACCCCTGGAATGAATTAAGTCCGTATCTGGAGGGTCCACTGTAGTAGATAGGAGTGTTTAGCTCTGCTTTGCTCCTTTAGACTGAACGGGGGAAGCATTCTTTGGGACAGCTACATCTCCCATGGTCTCCCACAATGTAGACAGTGCAGAGGAAGGAAGGAGGGAAGCGGGGAAGGAGGGAAGGAAAGCAGGAAGGAAAATTAGAAAAACCTCTCTTTCCTCACTGCCCATCACCACTACTGCTGTTAGCACGTAAGGGAAGAGAGGAGGGTGTTTGAAGGAAAACCTGTATGGGATGAAGATGTCCTTTTTCCAAGCTCTCAAGATCGACTCACAAAAAATTACCTGAGCTTTTTGTGTGTGGAAGACCTCAGGTAGTTTCCAAGTAGATCCAACATGAGCTTATCCATTTCTGTCAGGAACTAATTTTTCATCATTATGTAAGCACTTAACGTTACTCCTCTGACTTGAGACATGAAGATAACAGTACTTGTCCATTTCTAAATTTCCTGAGGCGAAGGGCTCATTCACACTTCTGATTGTTTTTATTTGTCCCACTTCTTTCCCTGGGAAAACCTGCTGTTTACCGCTGAGTCAGAACAACAAATCTCAGTTGGGTTATCCACAGATTTTCTGATTCAGTGGCAAACAGTGGATTTTCCCAGGAAAAGAGGTGGGACAAAAACACTGATTGGGCCCATGCCTACAAACCACAGACCTGCGCCTAGAAATCGTGGCACAATGGAAGTGTTGATGATCCCTTGAAATAGGTGAGCACTGTATTATCATTTCAGAAGTCCTTCAGTTACTTGTGTAGTGGTATATCTTATAATATGCAGCCAACCTTAAGCTGATGCAGGAACCCCCCCCCCAAATGAGTTAAGCAAAAATATATTTGTTACTATTTGGTGTATTAGCATCAATGATTTCTAGGCACATCAATTACAATTTGCATTTCCCTCCATAGATCGCCTGAACTTGAAAACCAGCAACAATGACCATCCCACCTCAAGGAACCACAAGCAACAATTTTAAAAAGCAGACTTTCCTGGGGGTGGAAGTCACTGTCTTCCTTCCTTAAAAGAAAAAAAACTTTTATCATTTGTTTTAACAATATGTCCTGCGCAACACAACCCTGGAATAGGCCTACATTAGTTCTGTTCACAACGCTAACTTGTTATATCTGCCTCAATAATTATATACAATATATATACACACAGAGAGACATTTGGAACGGGACTTATGCAGCAAGCGAGCTGTTCTGTATTGCTTTCTTTAATAAAGTTCTGCCACAAAAGTTTTGGCAATAATGTACTTGCAAAAATGAAGGTTTTTCACCCCCCTAGCCATACATATTTGTATGGTTAGTAACGCCACCCATTCCCTCATTTCTGCATTTCACGCTTAAATATTGAGGTCTGTTTGTAAGGTGGTTTGACGGTGTATTTCCATACAGTTGTGCACTCCAACCGAGGTTAGATGCATACTGAACACAAGAAGGCTCCAGCAGCCATATCTGTACAGTGGTACCTCAGGTTACATACGCTTCAGGTTACAGACTCCGCTAACCCAGAAATAGTGCTTCAGGTTAAGAACTTTGCTTCAGGATAAGAACAGAAATCAGGCTCTGGTGGCGCGGTGGCAGCAGGAGGCCCCATTAGCTAAAGTGGTGCTTCAGGTTAAGAACAGTTTCAGGTTAAGAACGGACCTCCAGAACGAATTAAGTACTTAACCAGAGGTACCACTGTACTCTGAACATCAACTGCTTCCTTGAGCAGGTTCCTACAAGCCTTACACCAGCAACTGACCCAGCACCTGAGGTTTGCGTGCGTTTAAGCCCTTGTAAGAAAACCAGTACCAGTGCTGTATCTGGTTGTTCTGGAGCAGGCGAAGAGATTTACTCTTCCCTTTTACCAGCTCATTAGGTTCCAAACAACTGTCACCACTTATCTGCAGGGCCAGGTTTAGGTTTGAGAGGCCCTAAGCTACTGAAGGTAATGGGGCCCTTTATATGTCCAGCTGTCCTTTGTCACTTTTGTGTGTGTGTTGAATATATGCTATATGGTAATTTATGGACTTAATAGGTATCTAAAGCCCTTTGCACACGTTGCCCTGCAACCAGTCCATGCAGAATGCAGGCACCCTATACAGTGGTGCCTCGCAAGACGAAATTAATCCGTTCCGCGAGTCTCTTCGTCTTGCGGTTTTTTCATCTTGCGAAGCACGGCTATTAGCGGCTTAGCGGCTATTAGCGGCTTAGCGGCTATTAACAGCTTAGCGGCTATTAATGGCTTAGCGGCTTTAAGAAAAAGGAAACAAACTCGCAAGAACTCGCAAGACGAAACGTCTTGCGAAGCAAGCCCATAGGGAAATTCGTCTTGCGGAACGACTAAAAAAACCCTTTCGTCTAGCGAGTTTTTCGTCTTGCGAGGCATTCGTCTTGCGGGGCACCACTGTATATAGAAATGAGCAAACCAATGATATTTTAGGGAGCAGGTTAGCAGGCGGGGCCCATTACACCATAGGAGCCTACACAACACAAAACAAAACACTGCTGCTGTAGGTAGGTTTTATTTTATTTGTTTTTTATCTTATATTTTGGAAACGTACATCCAAGTTTTCCCCCCATGTCTGCATAGCTGAATCTGGGTGAGCAGTTTTTTACATTGACAAATCCGTAAGCATCTCATATTGTGACTCGACGTGCAGAAAAGGACGACCCAAGTCTACAGGATGGGAGCTGGTGCAACTCCCTTCCCTCATAAAATAAGTTGACAACTGATTTTATGCAATATTCGTTCTACTCAAGAGTAGACCCACTGAAGTTCATTAGCACGGCTAACATTCTGGGAATCGCAGGTAGGCAGAGGGCTAGTTGGCTCCATGACCCAATTGGAGGCATCTCAGAGGCAGCGGCTTGGCTGTGGTGTGAGGACAGGATCAGATCGGACTTTGCTCTGGCATTTGTATTCCATGCTTCCTCCAAAGCCTGTGTGGAATTATCCCATTTCGTCCTTGCAACAACTTTGTGAGTTTGCTGAACTGCACTGACAAAGTGACTTGCGTAACTGAATGGGAATTCGGATCTAGGCTCTGATCAAGGCCATCCACAGATTCACTACACTTACTACTTTGGAAAGTTTTCCCAGAGGAAAGTTGTCCTCTGCGTGAGTTGTTTCCAAGGGTGGTGGCAAAGCCTTATTGATCATGCATTTGGTAGCAAGAAAGAGCCAAGTCCGAGCTCTGCGTGAGTTGTTTCCAAGGCGGCACAAGGGTGGTGCAAAGCCTTATTGCTCCTGCATTTAGTAGCAAGAAAGAGTCTGAGCTGCTCAGCCATCCCTGGTCTTACATCAGCAGCTGCAAACATTTATTTCATATTTGCTGAGCAAATTCAGAGGTCTCACTCTCATGCTCATTGCTTGTTTATATCAAGCCACATGCTTGATTATTCTTCCCAGAAGCCATTTGCAGGTGGCTTTTGAAGTAAGGCTGACGCCACATGAAATTAAGCTGAGGGCTACATGTGGTCGCAAAGCCACAAGTCATCCACCCCTCGCCTAAGTGAGGTGAATAGGGATGGAAGGATTGGTCCATTTTGGTCTCTGAGTTTCTCAAGTTTCCCCATTTTACATCTGGCTCTCCACATTTTTGCAGCAATTTGTGGATTTTTATTTTTTAAATCATCATGAAAACGCCTCAGCATTTCAGTGCAGATTTCTCCTCATAAGCATATTTTTGCAAGCAATTTCTCCCCATATAATGTATTTTTGTATGTTGGTGTTCAGTAATATATTCATTTTTAGGCACACTTTTACCTAATATTTGCATTTTTGTAAACACTGGTTGGCAGGAGAACTGCATCGCAAAATTCAGGTAAGTGGGAATTGCAAAGGAAGCCTATGGCTGGATCTACACAACTATAAAAACGCTATTAAAAAACGTTATAAAACGGAAATTATCTTTGACTTTCGATTTCAGCTCTACAGTGCCATCTGGTGTCACATTGTTATAACAAATTTATAACGTTATAATCTGACTAATGTAGCCAAGTCCTATGTCTGAGTTCTCATTTTGTGCAAGCTTGATGAATTCAGCTTTAAATGTGATCAAATTTGGAAGGAATTTCAGACAGATCACTATTACTTATGCATAGGGTTGGTTTTTTTGCAAAGTTAATATGTTCCTCCTTTTACATATTTGGATTACTGTGTGGCTGTGGGATACAGAGGGAGAAATCTGCAGGTGCCAGCAATTGATTCGTCTGACTTGCTTGTGCTTTTATCTTCTTCCTCTCCAGCCCTCAAACCTCCAATACATCATTTCAAGAAAGCCAGCTACGCCTCCACAAGCACCACCTTCCCACCTTTCCCCAAGAAAACGGAGGACTACTTGGTGAAGTACAAGCTGCTTGATCAGAGGGGCAGAATGAAGAAGATCCAGCACATTTCACAGCACTGGAATAAGAAATAGACGGGAAAGGAAAGCGTCGTCCCTGTATCCCTGCCCAGCCCCCACCTGATAGCCAGTTATTAATGGAGGACATATTGGAACCAGAGCAAAAAGCACTTTGAAAGCTGCACAAATTATTGGGGAAATGTATGTAATGTAACATGTGCAATGGAGGCATTTCCTAGTCGTAATTCATCCTGTTTCCCCAAGATGCCCTGCATATAGTAGCATCAAACCCCTTCATCCATGTGCACAAAATATCTGCATCTGCATTCAGGACTGGGTCCTGACTGAGTTATTATTTCTGGACTGTATCTGCCCACATAGCCCGCAATAGGTGACTGCCAACTTTGGCAGTCAATTACCTTTTCAGAGAGGCGAGCCGAACCTAGGTTTACAGAGGGTGTATTGTTTGGATCTTTCCAATGTGTCTTTGCATGCAGGGGCTACTCTCACCTGGTTTAACCGTTTCCCGGGATGTGGTCTGGGGGCCGCAGGTGAGAAAAATTATCCCGAAAGGAGCACAACACCCACAATACACCCACATACAGTCATACCTCGGATTACAGACGCTTCAGGTTGCGCATTTTTGGGTTGTGCACCGTGCCGAACCCGGAAGTACCGGAACGGGTTACTTCCGGGTTTCAGCGCTCGCGTATACGCAGAAGCACTAAATCGTGCTTTGCGCATACACAGAAGCGCCGAATCGTGACTTGTGTGTGCGCAGACGCGGCGCTGCGGGTTGCGAACACTGCAGGTTGCGAACGTGCCTCCCGCACGGATCACGTTCACAACCCGAGCATCCACTATATATGTATATTTCTGGTGCCACCAGTGCAGAGCATTAGGGAACAGAGAGTAATCTAGTCTTAGACAAATCCAGCAGCCAATCTGTCTCTAGGCCAGTTTCACCTGGACATTGTACTTAATGGGACCTTTCTACCAAAAGAAGAGAGTTCACATTTGCATAGGTCTCCATTCCAATTCATTTTTATTTCTCCCCTCTCCTCTGCTCCTTCAATTTAGGAACAACCAAGGCTTTATTTCCAGAACTGAGGTGATTGTGTTGCATCATTGTTTTATAAGTAGGCAGACCAAAAGCAAGACATTCATATATGACCACCGTCTCCCCTCGGGAGGTTGTGGACTCTCCTTCCTTGAAGGTTTTTAAGCAGACGTTGGATGGCCATCTGTCATAGATGCCTTAGCTGAGTTTCCTTCATTGCAGGGGGTTGGACTACATGGCCCTTGGGGTCCCTTCCAACTCTACAATTCTATGATTATACAATTATATTACAGTCGTACCTTGGCTGACGAATGGCTTGTGACTCGAACGTTTTGGCTCCCGAATGCCACAAACCCAGAAGCGAGTGTTCCAGTTTGCAAATGTTCTTTTGGAACCCGGACATCCAACATGGCTTACGATTGGCTGCAGGAGCATCCTGCAGCCAACCGGAAGCTGTGCTTTGGTTTCTGAACATTTTCTGAAGTCGAACGGACTCCCGGAATGGATTCCATTAGTCAACTAAGGTACGACTGTTTTCCTAGAGCAGGGCTCTAGCATCAGAAATTCACTTGTCCTCAAGTGCTTTTCTCAGCCTTGTCTTTTTCACTTGCCTGGAGAGGGAGAAAGCTCTGTGTGGCACTGTGTCTAGACATATCTGACTTGCAAGTGGCTGCAATGCAACCTGGCATCCTACAAATATGAGGATCACATCTTTTGTGCCTCCTGGCTCTGCCTCTGGACCCTGGGGCCTTCTGAACGCAAAAGCATCAGCTCTACCAGTGAGCTAACACCTTTCCCCAAGGGAAGACATCATGGCTTCAGGCAGCAAAATGTCTTGAACAGGCCCTGCTCCTC